ATTCTTTCATATACTTATTGTAGTAAATCATCACCATTCCTTCCCAGGTCTTTATAAAAATTGTTATATATTCTCTGATTTACATATTATAGCCAGCTGAGTTCGGAGTGGTGTACGTTTTGCGCTGCTCGGTCAGCAGTTATAGTATTGAAGTGCAGAGTGAATGGCGGACAACTGTAGAGTCAAGCGATCTTTACTCAAGAAAGGAGCGGTGAGGGTGAAGACTATTGTTACAGAACTGAACATTGTTGTAATATTAGTCACCTTTGTGCTGTTATGCGTCCGAGTGATTTAAAACTGAGATGCCCCCCCCCCCCCAATCTGTCTTTATTTTTTGTAACTATTTAAAGTTTTGATGTGTCTTAAACCCACTTCTATACCCATTGTGGCTCTTTGTAAATCTTGGGTCAGATATTTAGGATAAAATGGCTCTTTGCTTTAAAAAAGGTTGCCGACCCCTGCCCTAAGCACATGTGACAGACGTGGAAGGGTCTGGCGAAGCCATGGAGAACATTATGCTGCCTGCAACATTGTTCAGCATGACCGGTTTGGTGGTGGGTCAGTGATGGTCTGGGGAGGCATATCCATGGAGGGACACACAGACCCCTACAGGCTAGACAACGGCACCTTGACTGCCATTAGGTATCGGGATGAAATCTTTGGACCCATTGTCAGACCCTACGCTGGTGCAGTGGGTCCTGGGTTCCTCCTGGTGCACGACAATGCCCAGCCTCATGTAGCAAGAGTATGCAGGTGGTTCCTGGAGGACGAAGGAATTGATACCATTGACTGGCCCCCACACTCGCCTGACCTAAATCCAATGGAACACCTCTAGGACATTATGTTTCGGTCCATCCGATGCCACCAGGTTGCACCTCAGACCGTCCAGGAGGTCAATGATGCCCTGGTCTAGAACTGGGAGAAAACTCCCCAGGAGACCAACCGGCGTCTCATTTGGAGGATGCCCCGACTTTGTCAGGCATGCATACAAGCATGTGGGTGCTATACAAAGTACTGAGTACGATTTTGAGTTGCTGCAATGAAATTTCGGCAAAATGGACTAGCCTGCCACATAATTTTTTCACTTTGATTTTCGGGGTCTCTTTGAATTCAGCCCTTTGTAGGTTGATAATTTTCATTTCCATCAAACAATGTGGCATCCTTTCATTCCTAACACATTACCTAGTCCATATCAGTATAGATATACAGCATGATTATTTTTCCCATTGAGATCTGATATGTTTTCAAAGTGTTCCTTAAATTTTTTTGAGCAGTGTACTATGCTTGATGCATATCGAACATTCAGGAGAGATATTTGTTTGACCAAATGAGACAAAAAACAAGCTGAACACTCACCATCAACTTGAAGAGTTACTCCAGGTTGACCGCACTGTTCACACCCATTTGTTGTAAATCTGAATCTATACGCTCCAGCATCAGTCTTTGTAACATTCTTTATCTTTAATGTACAATTCATCACTTTGTTTCCCATAAACTCTGCTCTGTCTATATATTCAGCACTGATGTTTGTATTATTACTGTACCAGGTATATTGTTTTCCAGTACAGTTCTCAATATTATGACTCCACATCATCAGCTCCACTTTGTATGACTTTGGATAATCATATTTACATTGAATCACAACAGTTGATCCTCCCAAGGCACACAGGGTTTTTTCTGAATAATGTACTGTCCATGCATCTAGTACCCAGAAAAAATGAAGAAATGTTTTATCAGCCTTGCATCTGGTAAAATATTGAATTTATCAA